ATCTTTGTTAACATACTTTACTAGCCGTTCATTTTGGAGCTTTGATGCAGCCATCATCTTCTCATGGTGCAAACAAGAAATAAACTGCTTTGATCATGTGACAATTTGCACTAACCATGTGACACTGCACATATTTAATTGACACCATTTATTTTTTCCATATTTTCAGTAAGTTTTTTAGAGCTTTATAAATGAAAACCTTTTTTTTCCGGTCACTATTGTGACCAGTGGGATTAAATGGGTTAAAATAGGAAACCATTATTTTAAATTGTAATACAATTTCTAAATATTACTGTTTTTGTCTGTATTTTTGATCAATTAAATGCAGGCTTGATGTCAAACCCACAACCTTTGGGTTACGAGTCCGACTCTCTAACCATTAGGACACGACTTCACCCATGTGTATGAGCGTTTACAGTAAATGTGCATAAAAAAAACATACATACCCACATATATACTGTATGTAGTGTGTGTGTGCATTCATTAATCTGCATGTAGGCTATACTTTTATATAAAAAAAAAAACTAATACAGGTTTATGCAAAACACGGTAGCCAGCATTGAATTGCATTCACCTTGTTTATTTGTGACCACATGATGGCTCAGATAGAACATTCAAATGCTTTCTCGCACTGTTCCACAGCAACAAACTTGTCCAAACTAAGCACACATTTTAAAACGAATGAAATCAGTGATAATGGCATTTATTGATTAGTATCCTAGCATTCATTTAGCGTTGTAATATACATGCATGTTCTGTAAAGCTGCAGTGAAACGATATGTATTGTGAAAAGCGCTGTACAAATAAATATGAAAATGAATATTTGCGTAGATATACATGACCCAGCAATGCAAGTGAAATGTCCATTAAAAACCTCCCCGGACATCTTGGCGACAAACCATGATAAGTACGTAAGTGACTGTTTGTCTTGCTTCAGTTTAACCAAACATAAGACTGATGTCATCCATTGTACGAACAAATGATCCCAACCTTTCCGTTAAGGAGTTAATTGCATCTAGACTGCGATATGCATTTACCGCCATCTCTCGTGTACACACACGCAGCATCAATCAGAGCTGTCCGGAAGACTACTTTAAAATTTCTTTGTAAGTTTGCGCCTCAGTCATATTTAAAGGGTAATTCCAATAACCGTTTATTTAAAAAAAATGTAATACCGCAACTGTTGCGTTTTCGCTAGATTTAAAAAGTACACGATTGTTTTGACAGATCTGAGATTTAAAAATGGCGCTATCGGAAATGCTTCAGGACCAGACATGCACAGTAGCGTTCCAACGCCTTTGTTATTGTTTACGTCTTTGAAATGGTCTATATGCCACTTAAAAACTGTGGTTTGTAGTTTCACATGTTGGTCAGATGACCAACCATTTGCCATTTCTGGTTCACTGTTTCTTGATCAGAATAAGCTGATAGTCACTATGAGATTATACTTGAAAACTGAAATATTTCCCTATGCGGATTTCATATTGAATTAAAGATGAACTTTGAACTCACAAATTTGCAGCATTTACCAATATAAAACAGCTTGGTTTGGAAGCGATCTGTGCCTCATACATCGCAACACTATTGACAATGGAACTACTTTGTCACTGGATCTTAGATAATAGATAAACAAATGAAGGCAATAGCCAATTGACACACAATCATTTTCCTAAACAATAACAATATAACAAAAGTCCCAGTAGTGTCATCAAGTGGTTTATACAGTGGAAGTTCTCACAAACAAATAGGTTAGTGACAATTTGATCAGACCAGATGGAGCTGAAGCAAAAAATGCTAGTATGTGTTTGTAATGCACTATGAGAATATTGTGAAACCATAGATCTAGGGTTACCTAATTGGCTAAGTTTTGGGGCAGAATTTTACAAGTTCTCTATAAAATATTCAGTCTTGGTTTGCAGACACATCTAAATTATTTATGTCTGCAAAATGAAAAATCTAAGAAATTCTACAGGCCAGCTGCACAAGCCTTGGGCATTTTATTTTCCACTCATCTAAAAGCATGTGCTTAATTATTAATGGCCCAAATTGTCATCCAGGCTTTGTCTGATCATGTGAAGGGCACTAGTGGTGGCTGAAGCTGTTTCCAACACTTATCATAATGACTGTGAGGCTTTAGAGCAGATATGACCTTTGTGTTGGGGATATTTGGTTGAAGGTACACTACATTATGGGTACAAATATTAATAATATGGATGGCCTTATGTAGCCCTAATATTTCAGCACTTTTTTTATCACGCAGCAGGGGTCCCATGTTTTGAAGCATTTGTCTGTTTTGCTGAATGTCTCCATAACCTCTACTCTTTGTCATACTCTCCCTAAAGAACCACAACCACAAAGGGGGATTTCATAATCTTTGTTTCTTATCTAAACAGTCCGCTATATGAGGTACTGGATCTGAAAAAGACAGGGTCCACTTTTGACTCTATGTTTATGAGCATGAACAACTACATATACCTCATTTAGCAGATACTTTTATCCAAAGCGACTTACAATGCATTAATGCATTCAAGGGTTGTATGATTGTTCTGGTGCAATTTCACATAATCAACAAGGTGCGTGGGAAAAAAAATATTTATATTGATACAATACCAGCAACACTTGTGACGTTAAGGGGTCAGAGCAAACAAAGAATGTAATTAAAAAGGGAATTTTATTTTGCCAATGTGTTTCAGCACACAGGCCTTCATCAGGGCTAAAAAGTTACAGGTGTACATAGTTTCCTTTAAATGCAAACAAGGACAAAATTCAAAACGCGTTGGCAAAATAAAATTCCCTTTTTAATTACATTCTTTGTTTGCTCTGACCCCTTAACGTCACAAGTGTCACTGGTATTGTATCAATATTAATGCATTCAAGATACAGTACACATTTGATCTATTCATGCAATCACTGTGAATCAAACCTTACTGTTTGCTCTACAGAAATGCTTTAATTTGAGCTAGACTTCAAAGTCCTTGTGGTTTAATACAATATATTCTGCTCATGCATCGCATGCGACACGGCTGCTAAGTTTTCTGCTACCAGCTTTGGTGAAAAATACAATGTCCATTAGGTTTAATACGATAACACAACCCTTTCCAATTAGGGCACAGATCAATGGTCAGTGGCTTTAATGTGCCGAAGAGGAGACCCTCTGAAAGGATTCAAAACCTATTGATCACAAGATCAATTTTTGTTTGTTTTGGATTGGACTGTAATATGTAGGTGTTTTATATTATCAGTAGGAACAGAGGATTGAGGCACATTTGCCCTGTTAGTGTGTCATCTTTAGTCTGCCCCATCATATATAATGAATGGATTCAGTCAGATGGTAAATGACAAAGTCCAGCCCACTTATGCTTCTCTACCCTGAACAGATGGAGCCTAAAGACATGCAGAATTATAGGTGGAGAGTGTTTGTGTGTCTCTGTGTGTGCGCTTGTCATGAAAAATTATGTTTACTTTTGGTTATTTGTTGCTGATCACAAAAAGTTCTAGTCCTGTCTTTGACTTCTGTTTTGTTTTCATGCTCAGAAATATTACTCTCCATGTCAGCGTTTAATAAGTGATATCTCTGCTGCAAAATTTACATAAATGCAATGGATACAGTTTTATTGAGGTAGAAAATAAGATGCACATTATTCATGACTCTGCTGTTTTCTGTGTGCCTACAAGGAGTGTAAAGCAGAGATAAACACTTTCCATATATAAAACATGTCTCTTATGGTATTGGTGAAAGGTTTTTTGCTCTAACATGTAAGTGCTCTGGACAAGCAATTCCAGTTAACTCTCTGAGGAAAAAAAAAAAGCAAGAACGTGAAGGAAATCAATTTATCTTAACATTCCATGGTGCATTTGAACTTTTGCATTATTTGTTGAGAAAAAAAGTTCTTTATGGTTCCTTATATATAAATTATTATTATTATAATTTTTTTTTGCAGTGCAGTCCAGTGCAGTGCATAAAATATTTAAGAATTTAGACTTGCTGCTCTGATTTAAGACAGTTTAAGGCCTTAATTTGTTAAATGGCAAATTAAGACTTTTTGAGACCCGCAAAAACCCCATGAATAAGGCAACAAATTGGAATAAGACATAGGGTGACCACCTGTTCCACATTTTGCCAGGACTAGACACATACTGGATACGAGCATCCTGTTTAAAGCTGCCAGATCCAATAAAAAATACAAAATACAAGTTCAAATTTCAAAATACAGTTCAAAATACAAGTTCATAACATGCAGAATTATAGGTGGAGAGTGTTTGTGTGTCTCTGTGTGTGCGCTTGTCATGAAAAATTATGTTTACTTTTGGTTATTTGTTGCTGATCACAAAAAGTTCTAGTCCTGTCTTTGACTTCTGTTTTGTTTTCATGCTCAGAAATATTACTCTCCATGTCAGCGTTTAATAAGTGATATCTCTGCTGCAAAATTTACATAAATGCAATGGATACAGTTTTATTGAGGTAGAAAATAAGATGCACATTATTCATGACTCTGCTGTTTTCTGTGTGCCTACAAGGAGTGTAAAGCAGAGATAAACACTTTCCATATATAAAACATGTATCTTATGGTATTGGTGAAAGGTTTTTTGCTCTAACATGTAAGTACTCTGTACAAGCAATTCCAGTTAACTCTCTGAGGAAAAAAAAAAAGCAAGAACGTGAAGGAAATCAAT